GTCCTTCATTGTTAGTTGTTTCCCTGAGTGTCAGAAGCGAATCACATGCTAGGGGTTGGTACCCCAACTTTCACAGTGGCAGGCTCTGCCCTGAGATGAGAAGAAAATTTATATAACTGTCATGAACTTGACGACTTGCTTTTGAGAGCAAATGCAATTTCCTTTAAACAAGAAACTGGAACAATGCAAGTTACAACAATGTGCACAGTCCCAATCAAAAGGCCATCCAGGCTGTTTGGTTTTACATATAACTGTACAACTGTATATGAGTTCAGCTTCCAAAAGAAAATCAGAGTTTGTCAGGATAAATACTGATGTTCTTACTTGCTAAATCTGAATGTGCAGTTCCAGAAGATATTCACACCCAACACCCATCTATGGCCAGTCTATAGAAATTCCAAATTAAGGTATCAGGAAGAGAGAGCTCTAACAGAGAAAAACCTCCATGTGGGGTATGAGTCTTTTCTTGAAGAAAACAATGTCCGAGAAATCATTAATTACAAAATAATGTTTAAGAAATATCTTACCTGGTAATTCCAACTTTCAGAAAACTTTGTAATCTAGACTGTCTGGCCAGTTCATATATTTGACAAGTTGACACTGGGCATGTTTGTAAATTTGTGCGCTTCAACATCACATTACTATGTAGTAGCATTAGCATTGGTCAACTTAAAAGAGCGTAATTTGGTTAATTAATATATACTGTACATTATTAGGTTGAAATATTGGTGTAGATCGTTGCACACCAACACATACACAAACTATTGGCAGCTGAATCATAACAAGTGAAAAACCGCGCATGAGAGATTTACATGTACATGAAACAGTCCTCCACCTCAGAACCATCACAGATATGATACGATATTTGTAAACTCTCTGAAATTCCAGATTATTCAAGATTAACATGCACGTACATCATTAAGGGCAACCCTAAAACACTGAATCCGGAATCCGGAATCCGCAACCGGGAACCAGAATTCGGAATCCAGATATTATGAATAATGATAGAAATAATTCACTTCAGCAATGTCTCATAAATAAATATGGAGGAAAATTATTTTGCTGTTATTTATTTTCCTGGCTTTACTTCAGCCACAAACTGTAATTGCTAAAAAATTATTGACTAGTCCTGAACAATCCTTAGCTATACATCTGGCCCGATTGTTCAAAAGCTGGACAAAGCTATCCCTTGGGTAAATCACTATCCAGTCAGGGTTACTCATTTTTCGGGTGGATAGAGTTACTCATAGCCTGCGAGCAGGCTCTAGTATCTGTCTCTAGTGTCTGAGCAGGCTAACTAAGTGTCTAGTGTTTTTCTGCATTGGCATGTGAGTGAGTGCCTTCATGCGGCTTTACCTCTCATGCCCCCGGCCCAAACACGAGAGCCTGCTCATAGGTTAAGTTACCCATCTTTTGTTCAACCTGGCCGTGGTGAGAGAGCGGTTCTTGTCTAGACCAAATTGTTCTGAGAAGACTGCATGGTGAGTAGCACAATAACAAGCTATTACGGTGAGTTTCTGGCAGCCTTTTAGCATCTTTTAACAACATGTGGTCCGATCTGTTAGCAAGCGAGAAGCAGACGGAAGTAAGTGTGCAACATTTCTACAAATTGTTTTAATATGATG